TTAAAAGACCTTAGATCCCTTAACGTGAATTGACTAAAAATATCTTGAAAAAGCAAAACGGCTGAATTGCAAAACGCAATATTATGCCTCTCAAGATGCAATTAAACGGCCAACATCATGGATTATATCATTTTCTCAGGAAAACAGACTCAATTTCGTTAGTAATTACAAATGCATTCGAACATAATTATCAGTTGCATTCACCAACTTCTTGAGAGTCGATAATTGTAAAGTGAAAAGATGAATAGATCGTGAACAAGGAAGAATTTTTTACGCCGTATAGTAATCGCGATTAAAAGCGTAGATAAAGGCGTTTGGTTCATAAGTAACGATTTCGATAGGTGGCAATCATTGAAGACAAAAGAAACTATGCCTGAGATTCTCACCTTTTTGGCCGTTTTTGGATTGGGTTCAGTCTCTTCAGGATTTTGCATGACTGCATTATACAACGATAATGACCGCAACATTTGTCCAATCTTCTGTCCTTGCGTATTGTACTCTTCCTAAACATTTCTTCATAATACATCTCACGATATATAAACAACACAGATCGCAAAACTTTTACTTGAATAGTTTCCCAAAATTGTTCGTATTCTCGAAGTATCAACCACCACTGGTATTCAATTGAGAATGTCAAAAAACTACGATTGCAACTGTTTGATCTCTCAATGAGAACTGCACCACCAATCAACAATTTCTGAAGATATTCACAAGAAATCACTTACCTCATAGAGTGCAAGACTGGGACTGTGTTGCTGACACAAAGGGACCGTCTCAATACCTCCATCGCCTAGAAATATCATTTTCAGTTCTACAGACAGGCTTGAATCCAAAAAAAGCTAATAAGGTGAATAAATCATTCGAAATAAGATGATTGAATGTTTGCTTGAAAACAATTCAAAAACATTTCACTTCCAACGAGCAACGATTCATTTGGAAGGATCATCTGCTTAATATGAATAAATCTGATGATGTGCTACAAAAAAGTGATCAGAACAGTTAACTTTTTTTTCCACAAAGAATTACTACTTGTTAGTAAATTTTAACAATATCCGGAACAATAATCAATAGAAATCTTATTGTTGCTTTTTGCCTGCCTAATTAGTAGTAATTACAAATTGATGGAAAGTGCTCCATTCAAACACATAATATTCATTGATTGTGAGTGAGTTGATTCATTCTGAGTACAAATTAACTTAAGAAGAATGTTGCTGGAGAGTGGATTCCATTGAAATGAACATGACATTGAGTGCCATCATCTTATTTCATAGATCACTTCAATTACAAGATGCAGTGTACAGAGATCACATTCACTCATCCAAGGAACTGACAAAATGCATTCAAAACTGAATAATCTCACTGTCATATGAGCAAACATTTCTGCAATCGCTCAATCAGTGTTTACGACACCAGCGCACACGAGGATGTATGGCTTCAGTGGCTGGCTTTAAAATTGTTTCAGATGTTTCAGAATGAAGAAACTGAGGTTGAAAAACTGTAGAATAACGTATGTTCGAAGGAATTGGTATCATGGAAGGGATTTCAATGGATAAATGCAATACACAAATACGTGTATCAATGAACTACTGAATGCATTCAATTTGAAGTGAATATTTGCAATTGAAAATTGAAAAGCCATTCAATTTAAATGAAAAAAAGTGAAAAGTCAATATTTTTCTCTTCCAATTTGTTTCGTTTTCAAGCATTTCTGAGAGTATCATACGGCACAGTAAATGAACACTTGAGATGACACTTAAGAATTTCAGTGCGTCATTAAAACGATGCCTTTGGACG